ATTAAAGTCAGAATTCTGAGATTAAAGTCAGAATTCTAAGATTAAAGTCAGAATTCTGAGATTAAAGTCAGAATTCTAAGATTAAAGTCAGAATTCTGAGATTAAAGTCAGAATTCTAAGATTAAAGTCAGAATTCTGAGATTAAAGTCAGAATTCTGAGAAAAAAGTCAGATTTCTGAGATTAAAGTCAGAATTCTAAGATTAAAGTAAGAATGCTGAGAAAAAAAGTCATAATTCTGAGATTAAAGTCAGAATTCTGAGGAAAAAAAGTCAGAATTCTGAGATTAAAGTCAGAATTCTAAGATTAAAGTCAGAATTCTAAGATTAAAGTCAGAATTCTGAGATTAAAGTCAGAATTCTAAGATTAAAGTCAGAATTCTGAGATTAAAGTCAGAATTCTGAGATAAACTGAAATAAAATGTAAAAATCAGTTAACTTTTTTTTTTTTCCAGTGGCCCTAATCCTCTTCCGTACACGTGTCTTAAAATTCAGGTAACAGCTAAAAAATAAACACACACAAAAAAAATGGGATTTGGTACATAGGCTCCATTATTCGAGGTAGAAACTGAGCACTTTCTTTCCTAGTGTGTCTCCAGTTTGTAATCGTTGTCGGGTTGCTATTGGTAACTTGACGCGCTCCTTCTGGTCATGTGTTCAGCTTCACTCATTCTGGAAGAAAATTTGGGGAAAAAATGGGATCCAGATCCTCTTATTGCCATCATCGGGGTCTCCAGTGCTTTGCGACCAGCCACTAAAAGTGAGAAAATGGCTGTCTTGTTTGGTACGGTGATCGCTAAAAGATTGATTTTTAAATTTTGTAAAAAGGACTCTGTGCCCACATTTGATTTGTGTTTGGGAGAACTAGCAAATACTCAGCATCTGGAAAGACTGAGACACTATAACGAAGATAAGGTCGATACGTTTGAGAAAATATGGGACCCTGTACTAAAATTCCTTCAATAAAAAAGTGATTATGACTAACTTACCGTAATACCTTGTATAACTCTCCTTTTTTTTTTCATCCTTGTGGAATGCTTTGGATCAATTTATGGTGTTTTCATCATGTTGTCTTGACTGTGTAAGTGTGGGTAAGGGAAGGGTGGGGATTTGATCTTTTATTTTAACTTTTGTATATCCATTTGGAAAATTTTATTTAAAAAATCAATTTGGGATCATACCAAAAAAGATCAAATCTATCCTAAATTTCCAGAATTGAAAGGATTCTTAATATTTGAAAGGATACCCATCCCTATCAGCAATCCTGACCAGAAGAAACATTTTATCTGACCCCTTTTTTTCGCTCTATAATTCATTACTTAAACTTAGCAATAAAGTGGAAGAGTCAAAACTTTTTAGATAACAGTTGGTTTGTAAATTTATAGGACGCTGTGGAGGGGACTTTGTTTTATTTGGCACACATAAATCTTCCTAAAATGCATTGGTTCTTATGCACTGAAAAAATGAATGCAACCATTTTTTTTGCATTTACTTAATCATATTGTTTCATGTTAGCAGGGAAGGACATAAAACAATTGTGTTAAAGTAACTGGATATGATTAAGTAGATCCCAAAAGCGGTTGCACTATTTTTTTCAGTGTGGTAAAACCAATCTGATCTATTAAATCCATTATAAAGTCACTAGATGGCGCTCTTCTCCACATGTTTTTAGGAAAAAAGCTGCATGAATGAGCTATTCTCAACAAAACAAACAAAAAAAAAGGACAAAACAATGCAGGAGAGGATTTTTTTTTGTCTTAATATATTTATTGTTAAAAATGAGTCCTAGAATTTGACGTGTGGGCTCTGACATGGGGCTCTTTCACACCCCCTCCCATGCCAGCGGATGAGAACTCATGCAGCTGTGTGAGTACGCCGTCGACGCTCTACGGTGATCCTACTAGTTTAAAGCTTTGTCACAGAAGAATCAGAAGCTGCAATGACTTTGACTTTCAATATACTGATATGGATAATAATTGCATAGGATCATAGCCATGCTGTACAATACACATGAATAGAAAATAATATGTTAGAATGATTAGTACAGACTTCCTAAAGTAGATTTGTACAGTTCATCATATATACTAACATTTTAAGTGCATCATATGATATGAATAACCTTTATAATTATTGTGATTTCATACAGAATTATAGTGATTTATTACATACAGTACATACATGAAGTAAAGTAAACCTTTAACAACTTTAGAGGGACACTGCAAAGCCCTTAAATGTGATATACATATATTATTTATATATATATATGATATAATAAAATGAATTATCGGTATGCAGAAGAATGATAAAACTTTACACATCTGTCATACCAGGTTATAGCGATCTTTTCTTTCCACTGCAGCGTTTCTTTTTTTTTTTTCACAGTACAGTTTCTACAACCTCAGGAAAAAAATAAAAATAAGAGAGAAAGCCATTTCTGTGTCAAACAGAAGGTCAGTATTTTGCATGCATTACCTTATAAGTTGTAAAAATATAATATTAGTGATCGAGAAGAAAAAAAACCTCAAACAACAACTGCATGCAGCAACAGTGGGTAAAATGTTAACTTTGTTATGGTTCAAGTACCTTCATGTCACACACCCTCACACAGGAAAATAATAAGGCATGCCTCATTTAACTCGCCCCAAAACCGCTTCTCTAATGGCAGATACATCTTATGAGCGACTGACATGGAGTTCCTTCTCGTTTACCTTCATATGGTCAATACATGAATAATGAGACCTGCGAACACAGAGAAGATCTGGATTATTAAATCTGTCTGTCAACATTTCTAATCACAGCTCTGTTACAATAACATGGTCAGCTACCGGCTCATCTAAAGATGCAGTTTTCTGTTGTTCTATGAAGCTTTAACTGCTGATTGGAGCCACTTTTGACTTTCTTTATGAAAAAAAAATATGTAAGCACTGCATAAATCCGCGTATGGCTCGTTCTTTGGTTTTTTCGTTTCAAAACAAAAACGAAAAAACAAAACAAGCATGCGGTTTTTCTGTTTTTTCGTTTTTAAAACCTGAAAAATCGAATTAATAGAAAATCAACAACGTTTGAGTTTTGTTTTGCCATCTAAATAAAAATAAAATACGGTTGTTGTTTTAATATGTAGCGGTACCGGAAATGAAGCAAGTCACCAAAGAAAAATCATTTACAGTGGATGAAGACGGCACCAAAACAAACCATTTCTAAACAAACGGCAATGGCTGCACTTCTAGCCTGGTGAGACCATCCTGATCTCGCGAGCTTTCAAGGTTTCACTCGCAGATCAGTCTG